ATTAAGCTTTTATTTTTTACACGTTACGTGTTTCGATTATTTCAAGGTAGTCATATTCTCAAGATCATTCTCTTGATATTACAAATAAAATTTAATTTTTATTTTGATATCACAGCTACTATTTTCTGTACGATTTTAGACAAAATTTTGTCATTATAAAAATTGTTTTATAGATCCATTATAATCACTTACAAATTATAAGGTAAAATTTTAACGAAGAGCTATTAACTTAGAAAAAAGTGTAGAATTAATTTCAATTCTAAAAAAAATCTACTACCAGTAATTCAAATTTAGTTCCAACCTAATTATTGTAATTCCCAATAATTCCCGTAATTACAATAAATTCTGATAGTTCGAAAAAATTCAATGTAATTTTCAAGAAAAAATGTCTGATAATTCCAGAAAAAATCATGTAATTCCAAACAATTCTAAAGTAATTTAAAATAATTTAATTCCAAATACTTCCAATAATTACAAGCGATTTTAATTACATTGCAAAAATTTGTACAACTAATTTTCAATTCTAAAAAATTCTATTAAGATACCAGTAATTCAAACTTAATTCCAACTTAATTATTATCATAATTCTTAAATAATTCCTGTAATTCCAAATAAATTTGAGTAGTTTCTGAAATCCGAAAAAAATTGTTTTCGATAATTCCAAAAAAATCCAATAATTTCAAACAATCCAAAAGTAATTTTTATAATTCCAAATACTTCCAATAATTCCAAGCAATTTTATTAAATTCCAAAATTCCAAAAATTTGTACAACTAATTTCAATTCTAAAAAAAATCCACTAAAATACCAGTAATTCAAACCTAATTCCAACCTAATTATTATCATAATTCCCAAATAATTGCTGTAATTCTAAATAAATTCTGATAGTGTCAGAAATTCAACGTAATTTTCAAAAAAAATTGTCTTTGATAATTCCAAAAAAAATTCCGGTAATTCCATACAATTCAAAGATAATTTTAATAATTCCAAGCAATTTTGATTAAATTCCGAAAATTTGTACAACTAATTCCAAAGTTAATGGCCCCTCGGATTTTAATGTAAATTTTTGAATCAAAAAAAAATTGCTTATTAGTGGATTGTCATAAAAAATACGTTAAATAACTCCTAAACAAAAATATACAGGACGATTCAAAAGTGTTGGACCAACTTCCGAATAGTGATAGAAGACTTTCAACTAAGCATAAAAACGATTTCAAATTTTGTTTCAAAGTAAAAAAACAAACTCTTAGCTCTCTTGTTTCCGATGTTGTCGGATTTAATTTATTGTTGAATTTGCTACTTTGTTAAATGTTTTTTACACCATAAAACACAAATTGGTCATTTTTGTCAACAGTTTCCTTAGATGGACCGACAGTTTGGATCACCCTGTATTTCAAAAAATTTTGGTTTTATACTTTTTGCTAAATGATTTTCTCCCAAATATGAAAACAAGATATCGACCACCTGGTAGTTCCTCAAGACATATACAGAGTGTCCCAGCAAATTGACATTTAAACGCTACAGTATTAAAACATTTGTACACAAAAGTCTTATATACTACTGGACTCGATTTTTTTTAATATTTTTTTATTAATCAATAGGAGACAAATTATAAAAATTCTATTTTGTTTATACAGGGTGCGCCAGAACTCGCGACCCAGAGAAAAATTTCTATGTTCCTGGTATCTTACCAAATATTTTTCTCTGGGTCGCGAGTTCTGGCACACCCTGTATAAATAAATGTTTAAAGTTTATCAATTCGCTGGGACTATTATCATAAGATACATAGCGGTTATAAAGTATTAATAAAAATATATGATGAGAGTATTATCTACATTATTAGCTAATTGACGTTATCACTACATCTAAAATTCCTTTAGTCGTTGCCCCAATTTCGCAACGTTTATTTACACACAATTTTTTCTATTACTGGAAGCAACAAACCTCATGAGCAAGTCAATGGTAAGTCCTGGGCATATCCCACAATTCGAAATAATCAGGCGGATTGTGCTATTTATACCTTGCTGGTCCCAACCAGGGGCACCCAAACATTTGACACCCAGCCAGCACCACCATCAAGACCACCACACACCCCATCACCGAATACACCACACAGAGATGAACCAAAGCAAAGACGTATAGAGTGCGATGGCACCAATGGTTCGGCTCGAAGAGGGTTGGGACATAATCGGGCCATTTGATCCTCAAGATCCAGTAATTCCCGAAGCTGAACCAGATGATGAGGAATCCGGTGAGGGCGATTGAGGCGACTCGAGAGCCGATGGAAGCGGCGTTGGCGGCGCTGGAAGCGTCCATTCGACGGGTGTGTAGTTGGCTGTAGAGGGTCAAGCCCATTTTCACGCAGCCYACACTCCCGCCCACCACCATGTAGATGGG